GTGGAAGATCGCCCAGATCCTGCGCATCATGCTCCAAGTTGTTGTAGAGTTCACATAATGTAGCAAGGCATCTAGTCCACGAAAGCGGTTCCCTGGTGATGCGTTCTCTCAACGAATCCTCAAGGCGGCGCAATTCCGTGGAGTGTAGAATGATCAGAGCCAAGTCTTCATATAGCTCCTCTAGAACAAGTGAGAAGTCACTTCGTCTGCGCGCCTCATCCAAAGGGCCTTCAGCTTGCAGAGGCGGAATGAGTCCATCAGTGCCCAATCTCATATCCTCATCCACTATGGAGCCAAGCCCTGGCATAGGCGCATGCATAGAACGCAAACCATGCCAACTCTGTCGACAACTCGTGCTTCGAATGAGATGCATTTTCAACTTCCCAAAGGAGTGATACTCAGTGAGGCAAATAGCGCACTGCGTGGTTTGAAACAGATGCCTCACCGGGTGTGTGATGCCATGTGCTTTGAACATGTGCGCTCCTTCCCCAGCCTTGCTTCTGCACGCAAGTTGGCATTTCATGCATCCAAAAGCCGCAGCGGCTGGCTCTCTACGCCGCAACGGAGTGGGCACTGAGAAGTCATGGTTGCGCATGAGCTCAAAAAGTTCATTGTGTGTCTGCACCACCTTGCATAACTTGGCACGTTGTCCGGCAGCATGTTTCATGGCTCTCGTCGTGAGCCGCTTCCAAAAGCCAGGATGATATTGAATGATGTCAAGCCATTGCGCTAGGTGCTGCTTGGGATCTTGCAAGGAACTAGAGTTCCGTAGCTGCTGGTGCATCCAGGTCAAATCATCTTCAATGAGCCGGCACCAACCCTGATCCACATTGAAAAGTCCCCAAGAGACAACTTTGCCAGCTGAAAAAAGGGTCTTCAAATAACGCAAACGTGAGACTCGTAGAAGTTCAGTTGGACTTGGAAGGTCAATCTTGGTAAGAATGAGGTCATCGGGTACACGTTCTTCCGGGCGCACCCCAATGAGCCTCTTGTAAAGCTTCATCACCGCTGCATGAAAAAGACTTTTGGTCTTCTGGTCATCAATGACCCAGGAATCCGTACCGTACAAAAGCCTGCTGAGAACTAGGCATCTGAACAATTCCGCCCTCTTCTTCGACGGAATAATCTTGTTCTGAAAGAGGAGTCTGCGGTATGTTGTGAAGGTTTGATGCGCAATTCCAATGCGCCTGCGGATTTCCTGTTTCAATTCGCCGGAGTGATGAAGAACGCCGCCAAGATGTCTGTAGGCGCCAACAATGGGAATTTGGTAAAATCCCGTATCCCCTATGACTGGAAAGAGCCTCTTGGAAGAAGGACCAAACCAATGTTTTCGGAAACTTTTCTGTCCTTGGCCACGAGTAGAAAACATGATCTCGGTCTTGCCCTGGCTCAAGTTCGGAGTCATGCCATGGGTTTTGCAAAGATCCAGCAAGAAGCTCGAAATGGTGGCTGCTTTGATCTGCAAGCTCGCAAGAGAATCTGAGCTCATGCATATGCATAGATATGTGTATACATACATACATATATATATATATATACATATTATATATACAAATATGCATGCATAATTACGCAGATATCTTTCTCTATGCATGCTTACAGAGTGATATGTGATTCGTCGAAAATATATCAATGATAATCATCAAACATGTTTTTAACACCCGTCCGAGTGTTGTCCACGCATTCCATATCTCCAAGGGTCGCATGGGTCTTTTTTTAGTCTTCTCGCATCATCCTGCAAATTGCAGCACCAGCACATCCCAAGCTCATCTCGCCGTGGGACATGTTGCTACTCCGTCTCATGAACATTGTCACCATTACCGTCATCATGATCATCATCATAATCATCGTCAGGATCGGGTATGTGCAATTTGCAACCGCTCGCAGGTGACGTTCCGCCAGGGCCCGGAAGTTTAGAAGCTGGGACATGGATTGAAGCATCGTCACAAACCAGGAGATGCTTCCCTGCCGTCACTCTTCTCGTTGCTGAGCGAAATCTGAAGCACTTGGTTCTCCTTTCAGTGTTGGATGCTGACGTCTCCCAATAAGCGATGCTCAGCCCCTTGGTCTCTTGTCACCTTAGCACGTCTCAATAATGGATAATAATGGCCCATAATATGGTTGATCTATGCTGCTTGCCAAAAAAAAAAGGCATGGCTAAAGTGTAGCCAAACATGCCACATTCTCCAAGCACCATGGATGATCTGGATCCATTTTCATGTGCATCATAAGAAGTTTCCTATCAATGAGTTATCAAGTTTATCGGTTTACCGATTGCATTCTACGCATTCTACGCATTCTACGTGTTGTTTGTCTGCTAGTTGGTTGAACCTGCTGGCTGATTGCAACTCAGCCAGCACCCTGTTCTATTGGCGGCATTTTCATTAAACTGCCATTCTTGTCACTTATCTCCATTGAATCCTCTATGTTTGTTGCTTTAAACTGTCGTGTGCTTTACTTAATTATGTTGCTTCACCCGCATCAGATCCCTGCTATAGAAACCACCAAACAGATAGAACGGCTCATAATTTACCACTAAGTCTGAAAATGACTCAACCTTTCTATCCAACTATCCCATCGTTTGGACCTTTCTAATCCCTTCCCCCGAATATCAAATACTGCCATTTCTAAATTCTGACCCATGTGGGGGGTGTTTAGGAATATGCGAAGGGATCAAAACCTCATTGCTTGAGAATTTAGTTGCTGAAGTCCTTCTTGTTAATCGTTATATCCCCGTCAAATCCCTGCTGTCACACTCCATTTTTTTGTTCACGTGTTTCTTCCATATTTCCAAGGTCTATAAGTATAGATAGATATAGATATATATACATATATACATATATATATATATATTGTGTATGAATATATATATATTATTATATAATTATATATATATATCCCTCTCAATTATGTACAATGACTAAAGATGACTAAAGTGGAAACATGGACATTTCTCTCCATTTCTGGCACCCTGTTCCCTTTGTTCCCTTTGTTCCCTTTGTTCCCCGCCACAAATGGCCACACTGAAGGGCCCCAGCGCGGCCAGCAGCGCCAGAAGAGCCGAGCACTGGAAGAGTCGCTGATCGCCGTAGCGGTGCAACACGAGTCCACCCAACCAGGAGGCCGAGCCCTGGCCGACGCCCACCCAGCAACTCCTAGGGATGGGTCATGGTCTGGGGGAATGGGAGATTCATGGGCTTCTTATGCTTTGAGATGGGGAAAGATGGGAAATTCAAGGTGTCCTCCATGGTTTGATGGGGAAATATAGGGAACTTCTTCACTTTTTGTGGTATAAACTGAAGAAATCTATGGGAAATTGATGTTGTTTTACAGTTTGATGGAAAAATATAGGGAACATCTTCACTTTTTGTGGTAAAATCTAGGGAAATCTATGGGAATTTGTTTATGGTGAAAGAGTGTAATTTGCGGTAAAATTTTCAGCAATTTTTTGGGCGGGTGGGAATCGGAACATGTGGGAAATCTACACCTTTGGTCTTGGAAAAGATATAGCACAATCTACCATGTGTTCATGGCCGCAAATTTGGGGACCAGATCTCTTGCCCGTAAAACAGCAATTTGCAAGATGCATCCAGCCCTCCAACCCAGCGGTAGGTTTAAAAAAGGAGAAGAATGGAACTGAAGAAAGTTGGGACCGGTTTTACCAGGTCTTGTGAGGGTTTCTCACAGTGGTTTCATCTACTGTAAATGGTAAGAATCATGGAGCTGCTCCAAAAGCACATGGAATGTATAGATCGTTTGCCACAAATGTCCAGGATACCTGTTAAATCCCACCATTTACTTCAAGATCAGCCGCTCAGCAGAAAGCCGCACATCACATTCGGACTAATAGGGTTTGGTGATAAAAGTTATGAAGCTGAATAGCATATAGCCTTGAACATGATGAATCTGCCACCTTACACCAGCGCTTTGGACAACTTGAGTGTAGACCTTATCCAAAGGAGCAGAATATGCTTCATGGGTGAAGTCTGACTAAAACGGTGCATCAAATCCGGCCAAAACACACCATCCAAGGCACCCAATGATAGATTGCATGGTTGCCTCAAGCTGTGGTGGAACCATGTCATGGACCTAGGCGCAGGGCAAGAAACAACCGGTCCAAAGCACATAGGTTCCCAATGGGTGGCCACTTCAAAGTGGAACGTGTCGCTCTCAAAATTGCACTTGGAAAAACAAACAACGAAATCCATCGAAATCCAAATTTATCAAACATATGAATAAATATAAGGTGTATATATATATATATATATGTGTGTGTGTGTATTTGTATTATAGTCAATTAATCTTAATTATAGCTAATTGGAATAATTGCACATTATTGGAACATATGATAAATCCAATTAATAATCATTTTTGTAATTGGAACTAGTAGCTGCTATATATATATATATATCCCACAAAAAACATCTTCGTTAGAGTCCCTGATAGTTGGTCATTCACCTTGCAGCGGTAAGTGCAGCGGTAAGTGGCGCTCAGAGTTACCGCCGCATTGGCAATGGAAAAGGTGATGCCATGGAGCAACTCGCCTGGAAAATGGGGACCAAATACGATCCAATGAGAAAATATGTGAGATGTGCGGAGTATAGCCCACTAGAGCACTATGTGTTGGAGCTGAAAAAAGGGCCGTTCATTTTGAATGATACCACTCCAAAACGCTATTGAAACCTCTAGGGTAGTTGAAAATTTGACACCCACAGCATGCGCATCATATCCACAGCCTGGCAGTACCCATGCAGCATCCCAAATTGCGGAAATCCAAGCCTGACAGCTGTGGAGATCAAGCTTTGCTTTGGAGTTTCAACAGGGTTGGGGATCACTTAGAACCAAAGGATTGGGATCACTCAGAACCACAGGATCACTTAGAACCAAACAGCATCACTTAGAACCACACAAATAGGATCAGCAGAACCACCAGTCCGGATGTTTTGGTTGAGGCTGCTATAACCAGCATGGTGGAATGAGACCTTTAGGGTAACACTTGGGGACACGGGGCTGGGACATGGGGTGGGTTTAGGGGACAAGTGGGGACATGGGGCTGGGACATGGGGTTGGTTTAGGGGACCACCAGGTGGAATGAGACCTTTAGGGTAACACTTGGGGACACGGGGCTGGGACATGGGGTGGGTTTAGGGGACCAGCAGGGTGGAATGAGACCTTTAGGGTAACACTTGGGGACACGGGGCTGGGACATGGGGTGGGTTTAGGGGACAAGTGGGGACATGGGGCTGGGACATGGGGTGGGTTTAGGGACCACCCTGGTGGATGAACCTTTTTAGGGTAACACTTGGGGACACGGGGCTGGGACATGGGGGGGTTTAGGGGACCAGCAGGTGGAATGAGACCTTTAGGGTAACACTTGGGGACACGGGGCTGGGACATGGGGTGGGTTTAGGGGACAAGTGGGGACATGGGGCTGGGACATGGGGTGGGTTTAGGGGACAAGTGGGGACAACTCATTCTGGACCTTTTTATTCTGAGGCAACTCATCTTCATTAGACATATTCATGCTATTTCTTGGAGAATACCTGCTGATCTAAATTATTCAAACTGCTAACACGCGCCGAAAATAGTGCGACTGCGTTGTCCACGTTGATGTTCCAAAGTAGGAGGGTGAGATCTCAGAGGTCCAAGGTAGCCATTTCCCTGGAATTTCCATCAGGCTGTGTCTAGTTGGATGCCGTGAAAACCTCGGCAGAAACTAGATTTACATAGATTTACTGTGTTTTTCTTGAAAAGTTCAAAAATCCGGGAAAACAAAACATGTATTCTCAAGTGCATCCTTGTTTTTATATGTATGTACGTATATATATATATATATGTATACATATATATACATATGTATATATATATATAAACATATTTCAGGTGAGGTAGGTGCCTCGGTTGTACACGCGAAAACCCGACTCGGCTGTACACGCGAGAAAGCAACTCATTTGTTCACGCGGATACTGATGCTTATGATGGTGCTGACGGTGATGATGATGATAATGATGATGGTGATGATGATGATGCTGATGATTCCAGGACGGTTCTGAGCGATCCAAATTTCGCAGTTCTAAGCGATCCAAATCCCGTGGTTCCAAGCGACCCCGCGACCATAAAGAAGCATCCAACACCGTCTGTCAAATTGGATAGCTGGGCCTCGCTGCATCCGAATTTGTGCAAACTGCTTCTCAACATCCATGCTCTCTCCTCGAAAAATTAATCATGTTTCAAACCCAGCGATAAACCATCCCTAAAATCATCATGTGGTATAAACCATTCCTAAATGGTACATAGTTTTTTTCTCCTTGGGTTGCCTACTACATTACCCTAGAAACCCTTGTTTAATATGGTTTCGCATTCATTTTGGGCAGCTGATATCTATCATTAATCGTGCACCTCCATGAGCCTAGCTCCGAGGGTGCCCTCCCTGGGGCCAGCTTCCCCGAGCTTCCCGAGCTTTACAGCTTCGGAAGTTAGTGCAATCTGCCAAGCTGAGGTGGGAGTCACTCCAAAAGTCATCAAAAATACCAAGGAAAAACGATGGAAAAACGGCAGTCCCGTTTAGGCTATGGCGGCTATGAGTTTTTGCTCCTGGGGTGTCTAGTAGATGTTGCACCAGGTTCCAACTGATTGTTCTTGGATGGTCTCAGCCGAGGTTGCCTTGGAAGGCACTCGCCGAGGTTCCTAGGAAGTATTTAGGACAAAGCTGAGTGCACTTCACAAGATGTATGACAAAACTTGTAGGCTCAAGCCTGTACAAAAGCGGGACAAAGGTGGAAACTCTGTACAGAAATTGCACGTCCCTGCGATCCTTCGCAAGACAAGCCTGGGTATTTCCAAGCAAAAAACAAGTAGCCAGGCCAGCTAAGGGACGGAGGTCAGAATCAGGCCTTTGCTAGCCATTGCCCTAAGCTGCAGGGGACAGGCCAAGTTTCACGCACGCCATCATGATGAGCTGCGCAATATAGACCTTGCAATCATCATGGGATCAACAGGAAACACAAGGGGAAAAAACCGGGATTCCTGTAATTTTCCCTAGATCCAGTCCATTGAAGCGAGCCAATGCCAAACCAATACTTGCTCATATTTAGCTGTATCTTTATATATTTTTTGGGGCCGTCAACGAGAAATCCAACAAAAAGGAAGAGGTGCAAACGAGAATAGCAAATATCTTTCACGCCTTTCTTCCTTGAACTCTGCCGCAACATAACAAGAGGGGCTTAACAACAGACAACCTTGAAGTAGAATGTAAAAGACCAACACAAACTTAAGACTGCAACTTAGGTCGCGACAATGAAATGCGACACAGTGCTCAACACCAACTTTGAGAAAAATATCTCAAGAGCCGTGGCCACGCTTTTTCCCCTGCTAGCAGACGAGTTTTGCAAATATCTTTTTGCGTTTTGAGTTTTGCAAGATTGGGGCAATTAGATTAAAAACTGAAACAGACCTATTGATGGCCGAACCAGCCACCATCCAACAAATCCGGCACAAACCTTGGCTGAAACAGCCACAGTTGAAATACCAAGCCGGCTTCAGCTTTGGCAAAGTCATCTTTGGCCCCTCTTTCTTAATATGCAACATGGGCGGCCCACGGGATCCCCACTTGCTGCATTTCAACTTGCGGTGCTTCTGAAACAGCTTTTCGAGCCCCAAAGTTCCAACTATCCGTATTTGGACTAAGCGCTGATCTCTTTCAGCTTGCTTGATTTAAAGGGCCCTTAGCACTACAGAGTGCACAACTGGCTGATTCTGAGCCAGCATTCTTGAGCTGAAACAGCTGCAGAAGGAAACACATTGAAATTGAAATGCGTGAGCTTTTTTAAATCTTCGTTGCACCTGTTATAAATCAATTGCTGTTTGCTGAACTGAGTCCACAGGGTGTCTGCAGCTGCTGCAACGCATGTTTATCCACTTTTCCACGTGTCATTTTTCGCATCTCACATCCGGCTTTGAAGACAGCACCCCGCCGCAGTCTATGTGGCTAAGATCCGGCCCTTTCCAGCTGATCTGACTTTGGTCGATGCCGCGGTGGCATACTTGTGGCCAAAGCAGCCACCGGCAGCCACCGGCAGCCACCAAAAGCCGAAGCAGCTAAGTGGCCGAAGCAGCTCAGTAGCCGAGAGAGCTGCCGCCTCTTTGGCATAGAGATGGCGTGGCCAGTTTTCAGCCACAAACTTCCGTGAAGTGCTTGAGCCGAGGCTCCTGAAGCGAAGCGGATCTCAGACATGTTCCTAAGGAGAGGGCAATTCGTCCTGTCCTTAGGAGGTTCAAGGACGACCCTGAGGCTCCTAAGGAGAGGACAACAATGGGACAAAGGCTTTGAAAAACTCATATTTAAGAGTATTTCAGTTTCGCACCCCTTGTCGTCCTCTGCTTAGGAGGTTGAAGGACAACCCCGAACCTCCTAAGGAGAGGACGTTCCCACCCATTAATTCGAGCTCCGTTGATTTTTTTTTGATGCTCCTAAGGAGAGGACAAAAAACACATATTAAGTAGCCAAGCCTGTCTCCAAATCAAAGCTTTCGTTGAATCTCCCAATATTTGTGGGTAGTCATCTCTTAGATTCAACCCATTGGTAGATTCCATGTAGCGACCAGAAATCCAAAGTCTTTACCCTGACGCTTCAACCCACCCCAGCCAATTCCTATTTTTGCGAAAAGTCCATCACGACCTGCTATGTACAAAAACTGACTAAGTAAGTAATGCAGCTTCAAAGTGAGAAGTCGGAACAGCGTCAAAACAAGCCAAAGCAGCTTTGACAGCCGGAAGCAGCTTGCCTGATGCTGCAAGGGCTTGGCTGAAACAGCTACCGCTAAGGCCGAAGCAGCCTTACTTGAGGTCAAAATTTGAAAATACTTCGCAAGCAGGAGCCGAGTCTGACCCAGGGCCGAAACAGCCCTCCATGCTGCGTGGACATGCTGAGCCGAAGCAGCCGAACAGCCACCGCCTTGACTGCTCCAGAGCCCGCCTTTGTCCTTTGATGCTTTTGGAAGCGTTTTTTTTAAAGTGAACGGACTTTGTGATTTCATTGTTTGCTCAGTCGCTTGTCAATCCGCTGTGGCCAGAACCGTGCAGTCAACACCCCATGGCGTGCGCAACCAAGTTCCCAGCTCTGGGTGATGACATGACATGCGGTACTGTGAGCCCCATGTCAATCCCAAGACAAGCCACTTGGATCGAAGCCATCTGCCATTGCAAAAGCAGCAATGCTGCTGTCGTGTTTGACAGCTACTGGCCCAAATTGCAAACGAGAAATAAAAATGAACCAGCAATAATTTCAAATACCTCTTCAGCTGCCTCGACAAGAAAAATTGAAAGAGCCAATGGAAAGTGAAAAAATGTACGAGTATGTAGAATTTTGAGAAGGAAAGGACAAGGGAAACAAACAACATGTTCCGTACATGTCTTAGATGTCACAAGTTAGGGTTTGCAAAGGGTATTCCAAATCAGTCATTGTTGAAGCAAACAAAATTCTCAAATAGCTTAGCCTCAAAAAAAATACAAAAAATATCTCAGGCCACCCCTCCAAAAAAAATATGAAAATACAGCTAAATATGAGCAAGAATATGAACCCAAGAAATTAATCTTGAGATATCTTGAGGCTTGAGGCTAGGCTAGTTCTTGATTTCCAAGTGCTGCCAGGTGGCTACTCCAAATGCTCCAGCCACATCTTGAACCGCTGTCTCCATCCTCCGTGGATCTGGGATGGATTTTCTAGACAAGCTGTAACCATCATCAACCCTCATTCAAGCACTTAAAAACGACAACTAGCCTAGTGATCACCACAAAACACAAAAAGTCGAGCTTCGGTCCGGCCCATTTGCCGGCGTCACCATGGAAAATGAAGGAGAAAATCACTGGCGCCTTGGATTTTTTTATGTTTGGCGGATGGAAGTGGAATGGCTGGATGCTCCAACATAGTAATGTCACCATGTCAGCACTTCAATGTCAATCCCAACAACTGAAAAAATGGGGAAGTTAGATTTTCTGGGATTTTGTTGTGAAAAGCGACAGATCCTGATTCAAACCTCTTTCTCCCATCCGTACCACCTATCAGCCAATAATCTTCAGAACGCGGGCTCATCATGGCAGTGATATCCTTTTCAGGACGAAAAAAACGGGTCGGCCAACTGGGGGGAAGCGGCCTCGATCTATGGGCAAATACCTGCAGATGCTAACGCCATCCTAATCCTAGACTCACCCATGCCGACCATCCCTCTCGGAATGGGCCCAAGCAAGCATTTGCAGTAAACCCTCATAAAACAAACCCGTCCACATTTCCGGTGATTTGTATGTGGTATGTAAAAAAAAATATATATATTATTGTGTATATATATATATCTCTATTATGTATAATATATATATATATATATGTATGTATGTATGTATGTATGTATGTAAATGTGTAATTATACATAATATATATATGTATGTATGCCTGTATGTGTGTATGTGAATATTTGTACATACAGCACATACCTTTGCAGATGAAGTATATAAAATATCTATGAGATGATGAGATCATATGTTCTGAGATATGTGTATCATATGAATATGCGCTGTATATTCAGATATCAATCCATTGATCCCCGCGCAACGGCCATGGCTCAATGGACCCAGTGATGCCTGCCACTATGATGCTGAAGGCCTGTGAGACGCCCACGGTAAGAGCGAAGCCAATGTCAGGCCCTGCGCGCAGATGAGTTCTCGGGATCTCCATAATGGCTCGGCATAATCCCAAAAAAAGGAGGTTTCCTAAAATGGTGGCACCCTAAATCATTCAAGTAATAGATGATTTCAGTATTGAAACCCATGGTTTTAGGGATCCCCCCATTTCAAGAAAACGCAGCATATTTTTTAACTGTTGGGTTTTTGGGGGATAGAGCGAACCAGTGATTGTTTTCTTTAATACAACACACCTTGTAGGAATATATCTGTGTGTCACTGTGTATAAATATATGACTAGGTGACTAGGTGGTATTAGCTATATCTTATAATCATTTATAATCTAGCCACATTTGGGAATGTGATGTGGATATTTCATGAGGACATATTGGCCAAAATTTTCTCTGGATTGGTCGGCCCGGGACATATCACAGGAATTGCCAATCATATTCTGTGGAAAGATAGTAGGCTTATTGTCATCAGAAACCATTGCTATTATAGGTACATACAAAAACACTATATATCAGATATTATATATATCATAGAATCGTGCACCTACTGTGGGCTTGCTGCGTTTTTTCCCTTCCACCAAGCCATTCGAACCGCTATTGGGTACTACATCAGGCTAATAAAGGAATGTTCCGTAGCAGTACCTTCCACGAGTGGCCTCCAAGAATGATATGGACATACTGTATAGGGAATGGATGGACCCAACACATGCTGCCCCAATTGACATTGAAGATCTGGAAGGTCAGTCTTGCTTGATCAATCCTTGGTTTAAGGCTCGGATGAAATATTTTGCTGGTCCCTAATTACAGCACCTCGAAAAGCAATGGCCAATTGCCCTCAGGTAACCAAACATGGCAATGGAGAATTCCCCCAAAGAGGATTCTCCCATTTAGTCATTTAGGTCCATTTATATATAGTCTATAGTTAATTATATATAGGGGATTTGCAATTTGCCATGTTTGACCACTGCAGGGTATTCATATGCCAACAAAACTCCGAGAAACATGGCAAAAAGGCCGCGGAGCTCCTGGAAATTGGACCCAAGTCCAGACCAAGGCCAATAGCGCTACGGCAAAGCCAGTAGCGATCGACAACAAACCAGCTGTGGCAACTTCCAAACCTCGCAGTCATCCCCAAAATCCCAAACGCAGCATCATAGCTGAAAACAGGGAGGACACATTGGACACATACTATGTTTTTTGCACATTTCCCGTTACATTCCCATTAAAGAATCACCAAACTGTGCTGACATGGCACGCATCCAACTGCAATAGGTGGTTTTGTCGCAGCTCCTCAGTGCCAGAGCGGACATGTTTTGACAAAGGCTTGAGTTTGATTCTATCATATTTATTCTATTCATGTGTGTAGTTGACATATGTAAATAATTGTAAATCTTTAAATAATTAAATAGATAGAGGATGATAGAGGCGTGTATGTATCATTTATCTCTATATTTATCTTGATTTCATCCAACTTCATCCATGCTAGCATGGTTCTGTGGAGCAACCTGCGTTCTCCCGGCCCCAATGACTTGGAGGCGACGCCAAGGCGCCCATGGGAAATGGCGCGGGTGGTCAGGGAGGAGCATTGCAGCCCGACGTTGCCCGAAATGGCGGAGGTCAACGGCAGAAAGGCCATCAGCAGCGTGTAACGATCCGGGCCCACCAGCTGCTTCAAGCCCTTCCAGGGCAGGGGATATGGAACTGATATGGATATATAATGATATGATTATCTATATATATATATACACATTATAATATATATATATATATATAGTGATATATATGAATGTATATATATATATATGTATGTATACTAATATATATATATATAATTATATATATAGAGGATGTGGATATTCCATGGTAGCATATGGCAATGCATTCCATGATGTTCCATGGTTTAGGTTCACTTGGTGGAGCATCAAAACAAGTCCGCCATCCTGCACTACCCGCAATGGATGCACGAGATACCCTTCGAACCGCTTGCCTTTGCTGCATCCAAACTGGGATCATTCAACCATTCATTCCATTGGAGATTTAAACACCTCAGAATCATTCACATTTACTTTGCGTATTTATTGGTTGGCACATACTGCAGCTTCACATGAAAAAACAACTTGGTAACTTGGCATTATAAAACATGGGGGTCAAACATGAGAGGAAACACAACGTGCTTCTTCTATGTGTTTCAAGGCGTTCACTTCCCCTTGTTGAACATCACACATCAGCCAACAATAAGATACAATGAGAGTATAGTAGTACAACCACCTCAAAGTGATGCAAAAATAGATCGGCCATTTTGATACTCCACACTGGTTGTACTTCAAGCCCCCGGAAACATGTCAAAATCATAGGCTTTGGACCCAAGATCCATCCCCATTTGGATTGGACAAGCCATCTTGTGGGATAAATTTCGATAAGGTCACCGCATCTTTTTGGCTACTTGACCCCCCCAGCATATGACATTCTCACTTTGGCCCCCTAAGCAAAAACTAACTTTTTTGGCATTGCATATTTTGTTGCCTACATGGCGCATGCAATAATGCTAATATTCAAAAGTATAGCAATGGCCCAATGGCCAAATCTGTGTTTCCCCAAGTTTCTCTGTTGACCCCACCTCATCTAATGTCCCAACCCCGAAACCATCCCTAATCTCACAATGGCTGGTATAAACCATCCCATTGAATCGTACTGTAGGTCTATTCACTGGGTGAATCCCGCAGACAAAAATCCTCATCCCACGAATATTCCAATATCCATCATTGTTGTAAACCCACATAGTATCATTATAGCATATCATAGTAGCCCCCCAAAATCGAACATATTGCCAGGCAGGTAGTTCGATGACGTTTCCCCAAATAATTTCCAGGTGTCCAGCTTTTCTGTTTTGGGATTGCTGTACAACTGGTTGGTGCTCGCAACCCTGTACAAAAAACAGTTTGCCAATTGGAATTCTAAGTGGACTACTGTCAGTGTTTCTATCTTTCTGGGGGTTGCTATAGAAGTAAACTTGAGGCCGGGGGTGGATGACGAAAGCTAGCGGGGTAGGAGAAAGAAGGAAGGGAAGAGGTGAGTTGCGGAGGGACTGTCATCATCGTGTCGCGGCAGTGTTCGTCCCAACGAGGATGCAACAATGATATATGACATATGATATATAACAATGATATATATGGGGGGGGGCAGGGGGGGGCCCTTTCGCGTGAAAAATCACGTGATGTCCTTGGGGAGCCCCGGAATACTTGCTAAAGCAAGAAGACTCTAGCGAGCTGACGCTAGCTTTCGTGATAATGCCAATAATTGCCAATAATGATAAAATGTAATTGAATAATTAACGATGATGATGATGATGACGATGATGATGAAGAAGACGATGACGATGACGATGACGATGACGACGATGATGACGATGATGATGATGATGATGATGATGATGATGATGAATGATGAATGATGATGAATGATGATGAATGATGATGAATGATGATGAATGATGATGAATGATGATGAATGATGATGAATGATGATGAATGATGAATGATGAATGATGAATGATGATGATGATGATGAGGAGGATGACAATGACGATGACGATGACGAGGACAATGATGATGATGATGATGATGATGATGATGATGATGATGATGATGATGATGATGATGATGACAAGGACGATGGCGAGGACGATGACGATGATGACGATGACGATGACGATGACGATGATGATGGCGAGGACGGTGACGATGATGTTGATGATGATGATGATGATGATGATGATGACGATGATGATGACGAGGACGATGACGATGAGGAGGACGATGACGATGATGACGATGACGATGACGATGATGACGATGACGATGACGATGATGATGATGATGATGACGATGACGAGGACGATGGCGAGGACGATGGCGAGGACGATGACGATGATGATGACGATGATGATGACGATGATGATGATGATGACGATGATGGGGGGGTCCCCCCCTTTCGCGTGAAAAATCACGTGATGTCCTTGAGCAGCCCCCGGAATACTTGCTAAAGCAAGAAGACTCCAGCTAGCTGACGCTAGCTTTCGTGAAAATAAAAATGCTGTATAGATACTCTCTGGTAATCAAACGTGGCACTGGACAATGCCCCATTCACAAATGAATAAACACATCATTTATCGTGGCCTTTTCAATTGCCACGTTTGATAAGATAAGATGAGATAAGATGATTACCAGAAAATAGAATATACATAATGTGCGGGCGGTGACCATACTAACTATCCTATTAAATCAGATTGACATCCCACTCAAATCCCATGATAAAATCTCATTCACCATAAATTTAAGTGGGATTCAAATTATCCTCAGCTGGTTGGTGGTATACCTACCCCCCTGAAAAATGATGGAGTTCGTCAGATTGGATCATCATCCCAACCAGTCAGATCAGTCAGGGGTGTTTATTTTCCAAGCCATGGCTCCAAACCACCAACCAGATTTAATCCAGATTTATAGATGGATTTTCCATGATTTTCCCGAATTAAAACCATCCAGCTATGGGGGTACCCCCCATTCCAGGAAACCCCCATTCCGGTGATGGTAGGTCGGCGGTTGAAACCGGCCTGGGATCCACCCGTGATGATAAACGCCACTGGGATCTCCAGCGCCAGGGTCACCAACAAAGCCAGGCTTCGCTCCGGAAAGGCGCGACGCACACAGCCGGCCTTTCCGGAAAAACGGTTCGATGAATTTTTGGTGCTGGATCTTGATGATTTTTGATGCTGTTTTTAGTAGATACTTTATATATGTTTATATGGAGTTTTAAACAAAAAAACTATGATATTCTATGGATGTCTGGAGTTTTCTACGGATTCTTGAAGATTTTTATAGATGTTTGTGGGTTTGGAGATTTTGGGCAGGAAAATGGTGAACATTCAAAACCCAAAGGTGGACAAACGAAGTTCAGGCCAAAATCAGGGTTAAGCAAGAATCTTGCTCAAGAATATGAAGAGTTTCTCAACCCCAAATTTGGATTAAGTAACAATGAACATTTTGAACGGCTATGGAAAGTTCGAGCAGCCAAAAGCTCGACTGTAAACTATATGGGAAATCTCGGTGTCGTAAAGGGCTGGCTTGGCCAGAAAAGTGTAGGGCAGGGTGGCAGCAAACAAACGACTAAGAATAACACACGAATAAGTGTAGTAGGTTCTGCACCCGATGATCAACTATGAGGGGTTGAGCAGCCAAAGTGCGGACTCGCTACAAAAAGTTGGTGTGATTTATGCAATTGGGTAGCTAAGGATGGGATGCTTTGCAGCAGACAATCATAGGAATCATAGGAAGCCACGCCAAGTTGCAGGTGCAAAAATCACCTACAATCACCTCCGATACGAATCCGGATAAAATGGTTGGTTACCCATTTCAACCATCTGGCATTCACTCCAGCACCTGTTGGACAACCCCAAAGACAGTATCTCAAAGTCAATATCATGATGTCGCATGATGTCGTTTATATATGGCGTTGCGCCAAGATTTGGGTATGGATCGGCCCGCGGTGATCAAAGGCGTATGGATTGGTCTGGATCACCTGTGTTTCGGTATGGATCGGGGGATCGGCCTGTGGGTTCAGGGTATGGATCGGGCTGTACGTTTTGACTCGCAGCCATATATGCTTATGATCTTCTATGAACGCAAATCTCCCATTATATCTCCATTCCATTGTGGTTGGTCCATGGTCCTATGTCCTACACCACACCATAGTCCCGTTGAACCCAAAATCCCCCATCTAAAAGGAGAACTGTCAGGGGATTCCGTTCAGAAGCCTTGGCATATCTGTGCTCCTTGGCCAGTTCCTCTTCGATTGTTTCAGCGCTTTGGGAGCGAAGGTCGCCTCAGTGGGGAACGGATACTGTATCAACTTACGGGAGAGTTAAGGGGTTGAACGGTTAGTAACTTGAGCATACCTGAGTGGACTCTTGGAGAAGAAACCACACTGAAAAAACCTTTCATCGCATGCTTGGTACTCCAAACTGGAAAATAGAACCTGTCGATGTTCCAACAGCAGGTGTCCTATGAGTATTTGGCAAACAACCATGTTCCAACACATTTGATGGGACCAATAACCAAAATCACACGAGAGATCTTTAGTAAGTTCACCCAGAAAATTCCCATGTTCCGAGGGTGCAGCCTCAGCATGATCAAACCCATAGCTGCCGATATTCTGCCCAGAAGCTGAAGATGCTGGAAATTTCATCGTCCAGCGCTTCCCATGGAGCATTCCAAAGATTTGTAGGTTCACTCGCACAGCGTCGCATATTCCTCAGCAAATGGCATGTCGGCAGGCTCCAAATCCATCTGGGTCACCCTGCTCGTAGAATGCAATTAGGCGCTCTCGCAAAAGTAGACATGGCTATAGATGTGTTATAAGCACTGGTGCATAATGAAGAAAGCTTGCTTGCAGAATTAGTAATTTCTTTTGAGTGACGTACTCTCGCGGTGGTGGCCACTATATTTCCACATCAAGCATTCTTTGTAGCCATCAAGTCTTTGACAGGGCCACACTCTTTGCTCAAAAACATGCAGTCATGCACTCATTCGCATGCAGCGTCGCAATGAAAGCGATGATCCAATGTCCACAAAGTCCTCATCCTAAAGGGTTTATCCTTAAAGGTCAAAAAGCGGGGGTGGCACCCCACAAAATTGCGAATTCGCAATTCTACCACGTCAAGGTGGTGAGTTCTGAATGAGCTCCCAGAGCCATCAATCAGCGATCTCCTTGTCTTCGAGACTCTCCTGTTCTCAAGTCTGTCAAAAACGACACCAAGTGCTCTTCTACAGAATATTCTCATCTTCACCTCCAAAATCAAATTCGCTTCCAAAGCACTCACCAATTTTGCAACTTGTTTCTTCCTAGTGGAGCTCCCTACTCGTCCTGCACCATATCTCAAATGTCAAATCGATCTTCAATCTATGCATTTGAGCTGCAAACATGGATGGAGTTTCCTTGGATGAGTTTCGCATGCTAGGGCTCAAGAGCACCCGGGAAGACCGCAAGGATTATTCCCTGGCAGAATTCCATCAATGCTTCGTGAGTCTCTAGCCCTGCATTGCCATTTTGCCATGATTTTTGGGGTGTCAGTCGGTGTTAAAAAAATCCTGGATCTTTAAATGGCACCCATTTTCATCTATTTTCTGCAGCATTTTTTGTCGGATTTCTGCTCATCCTGGCTTTTTATGCTGACTTAACCAAACATTTGCATTTGTCTCCTGATGGACGGGCATTTGCGCTTTTTCCCAGGTACGGTATTTACGCTCATTTCCCCGGAAATGCGCAGAATTTTTGCCTTGAAAACTCGCAAAATGAAAAAAACATGAAACAATGCTAATTACGCTCACTTAAAACATGAAACACGGCTCAAACAACATTTTTTTCCCTCAAATGAGCATTTACTTGTGCTTTTTTTGTAGGGTGCAGGTCTATATACAACTCGGGCTTGGAGGCAAACACTGAATACTTCTCAGTGGCCGACTGCTTGACTTTGGCTAGTTACCATGCCCTAGATGCATATATCCACTATAATCCCATGTGTTCATTAAAAATATAAAACTATACACATATGTTTCTAGATATTTCTACCAGTAAATATTAAAAATATTAAGTAACAGAATATACAGTAATCCCTTCCCTGGTTCATATTAAACCACCCCAAGAAATCATGGAGGTAGGGGATGAAACCACATCTTTGGGACAGGTTTCGGCACCGGAGTGGAAGTTTCAGCGGCTTCAGGGCCCGCCCGCACCGAAGAAGATCGGGTCTTGGCATGGTGTCACTGGGATCAGAGAAATCAGCATCAAATTCCACGGGCAAAAGCGACAATGATGGGAAAACCGGTGGCAACTCTAGATAAAAAAGTAAAGAATGTAGATAGATTTAGATGCTTCATACTTCTGAAAAAACATGTCCCTACACATCAATACATCAATGCGTAGAAATAACCAAGATCTCCAGGTTGGGGAACCCAACATCTTGACATACAACTCCTACAATGCCAGCACTTGTTATAAAATTATAAAACATGATCCTTAATACATCATGGTGATTGATACGGAAACCTCCCCAAAGCGAGGATATTTACCCAAACTTAACATCACTATGGGAATTTTGGTATGGGTGGCCAAAAGTTTCGCTGGCCACACATCAGTTCCAGCAGTTTTTGAACTTCAAAGTGGCAATGGCTGACATCTTCTTGATCTTCCACTCCAAGAATGGCTCACCGAGCAGGGTTTCCATGCTGGTACTGACTTGAGCCATGACGTACAAAGGTCCGCAGAACATAAACTGCACGTCTTCAGGCTCCAATGTATCGAAAAGTTCAGGTGCAATGGTGGTGCCAAGTTTCAATCTGAACACCATGGTTCACAAAATACATATTTGCAACCATGAAACGTGCATGTGTATGTCATTCATTCCATGAATGGCAATGTTGTTAGATTTGGAGCTACCAACACATGTTGGATGGTGCTATCCTGCTATCCCCACCTGACTGGTGCCATCCCTTGGATCTTGAAGTCGCCTCTGGCCGAACCCAAAGATACAAACCACCAGCAGCGACTGTTGATGGGTCACTGAGGTACCGATTTCTGAGGGTATAGAAACATATAGAAACATCATTCTTGTCATTGAACCATCCGCTTGACTTAAGTTTAATCATATTTATTCAATATGTTCTCTCTCTCTCTGCATCGCCGTCTCAAGGAAATGTAGAGAATCAACATTCGCTCGCTGAAGGCGAGCGGCTCTGGACAAACCCCCAACCGCTGATGTATCAAGATCGTGTGTCTCAGAATTGGTCTAGTTTCAGGGAAAATCTGCAGGAAACACACATCAAAATTTGGGGGGTCAAAAACCATGCAAAAACCAGAAAAAACGGGCCAGACCTCCCCCCAACAATCCATTGATTTTGTACATGTTCACAGGTAAAATTCACTTACCCATGATATCCACATTTTAGATAGTAGAATCGCACTTTTTTGGCTTTCCAGCGAGCCCACCTCTGTCTTCGCTTGGCTTCAATGAGCTGCAGCGACAGCTTCCCCCAGCTCCTGTGACTCCATGGTAAACCCATGGAAACACCGTCCCCAGTGGCTTGATCACACCATCAAAAAGCTGTTTTTGGTCATAAGTGGTATTATACCATCCATAAATTCTGGTATTATACCATGCAAACATGGTAGCTTTATGGCATTGGGCTTGCCACCAATTATATCTTATTAATTTATTATATGAATCACTATGGGTGATCAAACGTGACAAAGCCTCAAGATAGAACAATAGATGAAGAAAGGATAACAAAGCAGGCTCTTGTCCCAAAATCGAAAAAAATGGGGCTAAGCTCTTTGTGTACATGATCGATGGCCAAAAAACTCAAATCTGAAGTTGCTTCAATCACCTACCCTCAAACTATGGCCTCCCCCTGGTCCTTTCAACTTGAGCTTTCTGAAAGGTTGCGATGAGCTCCTCACGAACAGCCTGAGGGCCAGAAATGGATCCTATGTAGATGGGTATCTTCCTTGGGTTTTAATAGGTCTCAATGGATTTGGACAGCATACAAACATGTACACATGGTGAATTGTGACGCATACAATATTACAGTATATTACAGTCTACAGTATAACTACATCCTCCGGAATACCCTCTGGTAATTTAACGTAGCGAACTGGAAAATCACCATGTTTAATGGGAAAATCCACGAAATAAATCACCATTTTCAATAGCTTTTTGTGGCTGTTTACCAGGCCGGGTTTTTTCGAAGCAGTAGCATTTGCCAAACACATGGTGTCTGTATGCGAAGCGCAGCATTTCTGAAGCCGAACCTCCAGCACGGCTTGATACTGCTGCGAGATTTCTATGGCCTTGGCAGGACATGGACAATCCTAGGGCAAAATTCAGTTGGATTGCATCCATCTGCTTCACCATGCCCAAAATACATCAAAATCCATTAATTTCCATTATATACATATATAAATATATATACTACCACCTATCAATGGGCCAAACTCTGTTCAAACTCTTGACATCTCTCCATGTCTGAGGCAGTGGCAAAGCTTCCATTCTCATCCTCAGCCGATCCAAGAAGCAGCAGCATCCCTAGTGGGACACCAGCCATTCCTGGCTATTAGCACTGGACATGTGCCCTGCAATGCCCTGCACATTCTTTTCTATGTAACCGAGGGGCAAGCTGTTAATGCTTGCGCAACTGGTCCTGATTCTCCCAGCAAAGCTAGTGGAATTGAGACCAGGGCCACCAGCTGTAGGACATGATCTGCCAGCAACACAGCCTGGCTCCCCTATTCCCCCATCTCTGTAGAGCTGGGAAGGCAGGGGTCAAACATGTCAAACACATATTTCAACATCTTCTGACATAGCCAGAAGAAACAAAAAACATGGCATCATGGTATCAATTTTGTTGCAGAATCCATTAGCTCCACCAGTGCCGTCAGCATGGTGTCCCACCTTCAGATCTGAAAAGTTGTAACTGCGATGGCTCCTCGGTACGTTCAGCTGGTTGCGGGAGTCCCACAGAAAAGGGAACCAATGGGGTACCAGAAAACCGGTTTTCAGGTGTTGCTGTGTCGGTTTCAATACACCAACTGAATCCGGATCCAATTGAGATAATTGAGTAGGGTCCACCGCACTGACCCATCTGTTGAACCTCATTATGCCAGGAGGGGTCTGCAAATTCTCCAAACCTCCTGCTCTGAAAGGCTTCAATGCCCAAAACGCCACGGACACCATCCGAAACAATTCCGAAACGACAACTTCTGACTGCTGCGGATGGTTTTCAAAAGCCGCGGTGCTGTCTCCGCAGTGGGGCGGCATGTCGGCCCTGGAGGCATTTTTTGATGCTTTGTGTGGGTCTGGAAGGGCTTGAAAGTGAGAAACACATGCTATTGGATGAAAATAACAAGCCTACATGCTGCTCACATAATTACTTGACCAAAGCAAGCCTCCTTCAAAATATCTTAGAGCAAGCATCTGGATCATTATTGATCAGAGCAATATATAGGTCGCACCAATTGTCACGAAACAGTTGCTCGAGCCACCAATTCTCACAAAACAGTTGCTCGAGCTGCTTCAAAAATAAGACAATGACTGTAGCTCATGGAGCTGCCATATACGATATATCCGCCATATATCCGCCATATATCAGTCAGATATCAGCCACATATCAGCCATATACCCTCTGGTAAACATACAAAAACTATGGAAAATCACCATTTATAGTGGATTTTCCCATTGAAAAATGGTGGATCTTTCCATAGTTTTTTGTATGTTTACCAGCCATATATGTCAAGATTTGAGGTTTCCAGCCCCAAATAAAGTCACCACGCGCTCCACCTGGTCACTGTCGATCTCAGCCACCACGCAATGCCTCGATGGTTTTTCGAGGTTTTTCGGCATGGCTGGTGGGTAAACATGGAGAAACCTATCCCATAGGATCCATGTATGGAATATTTACCTACATTGGGATTATTTTAAATTACTTTAGGGGTCAATGTAGGTAACTATTCCATACATGGATCCTTAGGGTATGAGGATAAAACCTATGATAAACCTATATGATAAACAACAGTTCTCCCCATGAGATTGATCCTTCAAAGATACCGAAATGACACAAATATCTACAAATATCACAAATGTACACCAGCTTGATCTCGGTTGCCCAGACGTGGCAAAGAGCAACAAGACGGTTACCTCTGGCCGAGTCAAGCAGCCAGTACAGTTGGGGACAGTTGTGCCACTGCTGCTGGTACCACCCCACAGACCTTGGAGTTGTGCTGCATCAGTGGGACCACCTTGGAATGACAAGAGAACCTGGAGTGGGTGAATAAGAGTATGTACTATTACCATCAGTTATCTATATTCTTCTCTGTCTACTTACCAATTTGAGCTCCGTAAATGCCAGCTTTTGATTGCAGGGGCTTGGAAAGTCTTGAAAGTTGCTCAAACGCGCCAACATGGCCAGCCACCAAGCATGCGAACGCAGGAAAAGTGCGGTCACTTTTCTTCCAGCATGACATTGTCTTGCGTGGGAGGCTATCGGGAAGGCCGCGTTGTTTGCTACTGAACAGGACTATCCGCCTGTCACCACCCTCAAAACCACAGCACCGTGTTTGAATCTTTGCACATTATATACTTGGCACAACTACACCACGAAGACCCTGAGAGCATCCCAGCATCTGATTCCTTGCAACTTTGAATTTCACGGAGCTGCCTGGAGGGGACATCGAAACGTTGCCAAGTTCATGTTCTTTCCATCCGTTTCCCATCCTATCGGCCAAAAAACGCCAAACTCTTTTTGCTAATTTTTTGCTCACATCCATCCTCCAATTTCCCCTCCACTTCTCCACATTTCTCCATCCGAATCTCAGTCACTCAGCTGTACGGATTCCTGGGTGTCCCAGGCACCCCATCCGAAGCCCAACTCGCTGCCCTTGGGCGCTGGAAACGCCACTGCAGGCAGCTCCGGCAGGGCTGCTGGGGCTGGAAACGCGGCCGCGGAGTCCGGCCAAGCAACTTCCTGAGGAGGACAGGTTCCAGCGTTTCATCCACAGTGAGACAGTGAGATCTTGGAATATACATGAACATAACATGCAAATCATATTCAATCGGTGATTACAATTGATTCTTTATGACGATTTGGGTGAGTATTATCATGAATCATCTTTTTGTGCAATATGTTAGTTATATGTTAGTTAAAAACTATTACAGTATCTGATTATAAAGTATTCCAAACTCAAGCGATTTTCCAAACCTTCCCATGCTGCAACCCACATCACAGCTCGATCAAAGCTCCCATCGAGCAGGGCTGGACGAGTCCAGGGCTTCCCACTCTGGGGGCCGCTGGATGGGCGCAGTTACCTGCGCCATGGACTGTGGGTGAGGGATAGGCTGTGCCGACAGTGGAAGATCAATCTGGAAAGATGATGAAAAATGAACCAGTGAATAATCTATCAATTTTCTATTGGAAAGTATGTGCCAGTATCAATTGGATCTGACATCAATTGAACGCATGACTTTTGACTGAATATTGGGACAATTGACCATTTTTCGAGGGTACCATTGCCATTGCCATTGTCGCACTTGATCAAACACTGCGTTTTCAAACCCCTGGAGACCAACTCAAAGTAAGCGAATATCATGTAAATAGTCGACGGTTTCCAGCCAACAGATTGTAAAGCTAAGCTATGCTGAGCTCACGTTCCAATTTGTCCAAAGTAAGTCCATACATACGGCCAAGTGAATTAAACTCTTGGACAAGTTGCAACTGTGAGTGGCACCCCTGGCCCTGCATCATTTGACAGATATCGATCATGCTTTGCACTTGGATTACTTGGGACTTGAAACACCTGAACTTTGATATGCCCAGGGGCCGCATAGTTTGGCGATGGACTTGGAGACGTGGGTGTTCGAACTGTTGCCTCAAACCTGGGATCCAGCTTTGGTACTTCAATCTCTGCGGATCATCCCGGTGGAACAAGATGGAACCAGTAACTCTTTCAAAAAAATATAGATAGGTATAAGTGGATAGATATCCTATGCTAGATATCTTATGATAGATATACATATAGATATCCTATCATAAATATTCATTACTATCAAATTTCCCGAGTAAATCTTTAGATAATCCATAGATAATCCTATGATTCATTACTATCACACATCGAAGCACGGCCGCCACGGCAAGGAACGTGACCCAACCGGACCGGCATTGCCGTCTCTCCAGTGATGAAGGGACCTACCAGCTGGACCCAGGCGACCTAACTCTGAGTTGCAGCTGTGATCTGGGATGCAAGCATATAATATCATATAATACGACATTATAATATATGGTAATACATTGTGATAATTACATGATAATACTCTATATAATTATATATATATATTTATATAGGTAACATAACTGGATGAATATGTCACCAATCTCTGTTGTTCGTTTTTTCCTATGTTTCTTGGATTTTCTTGGGGTTTCCATGAAAGACCACCATTTCTGGTCACGTTGTGGTGAGGCCGCTATACTATCTATACTCTAACAAAACATCTTTTTGTAGCCGGCAAGGACCATCATCCGTGTCAAGGTCGCAAGCACAAACTGCAACATGACATTGAACCCTTTCAGCTAGTACCAGCCAGGGTCACGAGACTGACGATGAAGCCAGTCTGGCCTAATCATGATGGTATGACCCCCAACACATAGTTCTGTAGAACAGGAGATCTCTCTCTCTCTCTCTCTCCCCCTCCATCGCCATCTGTCAAGACAGGATTTGCACCAAATATCCGCACTGCAAGACGCAATTGAAGTCGTTCTACAGCTACAGCTACATCAGCTTACAAACCATCTACAAGTTCTCAGCGCATCCTTCCGCCAAATGCATCCGTTTACCAAGGACCATTTGCAAATTTCAATCTTCATCACAGGCACCCGCTTTTCTCCTCCACCATATTTCTTGCACACACCAATCATTTATGGTCAATATCCCCCATCCCTACCCCGAAATATCCTCACTATCTCCCCATACAGTATACAATGGGTTTAATGTGGGAACCCAATGTCATAAACCATCACACACCTACCATTTTGGGATGATTTATAGCACCCATAAAAATTCTGATGACTCGGGTTTTTGTTTGTTCTTGGGTTTACCCTCTGGTAATTTAACATAGCTATTGAAAATGACCATTTATAGTGGATTTTCCCATCATTTATGGTGATTTTACATAGTTATGTTAGTTTACCAGAGGGTACCACATTGATACCCAACAATTTCAGCCGTAGTTGATCCCCCCATTCATCGGATGTTCTCCATTCAACGCCTTCCGCGGTGCCCTTGGAGCGCTCGAGGGGCGCGCGTTTCCCGCGGTGCGTCCGCCGAGAACTTCGCTCAAGGGCTCTTCGAAGGCCCGTCCTGGGATTCACCGATATTTTTACCTACCATGACTGGAGATGGTTTTTATATGTTTATAAACAACCATTAACCACCATATTAACCACCATATTAACCACCATTAACCACCATATTAACCACCATATTAACCACCATTAATATGTTTATATAATGTTTATATACACCACTCATTTGTGGCATATATTGGACATGGTAAAAACTATTGCTTTATACCAACATAAAACTTAAGACCTACATCGAAATCACTGGTTTGTACCACCTAAACGATGCATTTTTCCAAACTGTACCTGTGGGGAAAACGAGAGTTGAGTGCTTTGTGAAGCTCACCAGCCGAGGGTCTTAGGACTTCAGCGCTGGTGGGTGTCTTCGAGGGCAAGGGTCCGCCGAAGGGATCCCAATAGTCTCCTGTGAGCGCTGTATTGCGCGTACTTTGGCAATGGGGAAATAATTAGCACCGGGTGGCACATGAACGTACTTGAGAAAAACAGAAACATGACCCTGCACAGTTCCACCCGTATTGGAACTCAGTTTGGCCAAATATACGTTGTATTATGATCCCTTATCTAGCATTGGCTCACCCTTCGTGGAGTAGATCTCGAAGTGTTATCCAGACCACGCCAAACCCACTTCGAAATTCAAAATGATCTCCATCTCCTGAGGAGAAAATGGATGGCTCAAAGCAATAACTGCCAGGTCGACCCCAGCTCAGCGACCCAGTCTCGCTAGGTTGAAGTCGCCGGCTACTGATCCTCGTGGCGAGCGATGTTCCCTCATGTTCCCTCTGTGATGCGGTCTTCCAATGTGTGGTTCGTGGGCCAGTTCTAAAAATGGAAGAACTTGAGGCAACTGCATATGATTTATGGTCATTGTATCGTAACTAGGAAATAACATTCCAAGCTCATGGTGCCTCAAGGTCATCAATTGGAGCACCGATACTCCGCATTCTTGAGGAACAGCAACGCAAGGAGTACAGCGACGTTTATCATTCCTGGTGGCCAAGTCACAAGCTTGGCAGGAAGGAGTGTCCATTGTCCGCCTGCGAAGGAGATTTGTATTGACAAAATATCAGCAAACCTCCCCAGTGAGGGAAACCTGAAAGCCAAACAACTGGGACCAGCTGGGCACCTGCGGATTCCATGGTGAGAACCTCGACTGTGCAATTGGGCTGACGGCTGCTGATCAGAATGCGCTGGCAAACAAATGTAGATGCCACTTCCTTCAAACCAAACCCATCCAAAAACTTCATCTCTAAGCTGGGTTGAGCAGGAAGCCCCATGCAATAGTTGATGGTTTCATTATGTGTGTTCTTTTCCGCCTTCGACCATCCTCAGGAAACAGAACACAGAAGATTTCATCACTGGATTGACTCTAGACTCAATTCTGGCATTTTGCATTCATCAATCATTGCCCCCTGAATCCCTAAAATGTCCATGGCTCTGAACAAAATGTTCCCATCATTTTCCTGGTGCTTCCGGCCACTTTTTGCCACTTTCATCCATTTTCCGAGTTCCAACGGTACTTTTTCCCTCAGTAAGCTTACAGTAAGTGGATGGTAAGCCCAGTTATCGTGACACCAAAAAATTCCCAGCTCCCAGCTGCTGTCAGGAAACCATTCGCTTCTGGACACCACCGCCTTTGGCATTCGCGGCACTTCTGGAGGAGGTGGTGGATCCTGGCGGCGACTGGTCGAGCAAAAGGCGGGAATGGGGCGCCATCGGATATAGCATGAATATACAGTATGGTACCATCATGCATCATGGTGGATAATCAGCAACTTGTTTCATACACTGAGTGGATCTTCATGGCTATCGGCTATAGGGCTTCCTGGTGCTTCCTGCGAGGAAGTTTTCGAGTAGGTTTCCGGTCCTCAGGCTGCAGTAGCTGGACTACAGAGAAGAACTTGGGACCCGGAGGCAGATATCTTTCATCCGCCTGAGCCAGCGTAAACCCACTTTTGGATCCAAAAGGGCCAACAGCAGTGGAACACAATCACTGGTTTGGATTTGATGTTGATGTTGTTCTTGATCTTGATGATGATGATGATGATCATGATGATGATGATGATGATGATGATCCGCAATCCTCACCGCTGCTGACATCTGTAGTTACTAAGTTCAACCTGCCCAGTCTTGCCACAACAGCGAAGCGACATCACCTCACCTCTTGTCCTACTGTTGGTATCAGTGAGTTGGTTGGTTGGTCGGTTGGCCAGTTGGTCGTTCCACACTTCAAATGACAAGAAAGGAAGCATTTCTTTTTCCAATCCAGGCCCCATTTTCCAGGGCACTTGTAATGAAACATAGTAACATAGCCATGTAAATCACCATGTTGAAAGGTAAATCATCTATAAATAGGACATGTCTCATAGTTATGTTCAACTATGTTCAAACTTTCGGAGGGTGGGAGGGAAACCGTAACGGAATCCATTGCGACCCATCGCCCTGCAGCCTTGCCTTCCTGTCGGGGCTTCTCTCAGGACTTGTGGTGCGGCACTGTCCCTCCTGTCGGGTGCTGGCTGTGCACCCCAATATCTGGAGAAAACGCGTATCATTGCCCTGGTTATTCAATATCAAAATTATGCATTCCAATATATAATTAGAATATTATAATGGAAATATCAATATCAATATCAAAATTATGCGTATCAAGTTATATATATATCTCTCTCTCTCTCTCTCCCTCCAGCGCCATCTCGGGAGATCAGAAATATCACACCATTCCATATGCTCATGAAATTCTTGGATTTATAAGTTTACGATAGTTTACGTCGATTTTAATATAGATAATATAGTTTAGTTTATTGTATTGCCCCATTTGTTCTTGCTTAAGCCCACCATCTCCGGACCACCCCCATCCTCAGTGAGTCGTTGCCACCGCAGACCGCTCTGAGCCGCCGCTATCTTGTCATTGCGTTCTCGCAGATCCTCGAGCAGAGCGTAGATGCCACGCAAATGGCCTCTTCAGAGCAGTCGTGGAGGCGTGGAGAGGCACGTAATTATAGTAATTATGAGGAAAATCATTTCAATCTTCACCAAAGATTGGAATAATTAGAAACCATAATTATTCTTTTGGGTGGTATGTACCCATATATTTTCTTAAAAACATATGTTCCTATAGGCTGGCTGGTGGTTGAGCCAGCTGAAAAAATCGTCCGTTGGGATCATGTCTGAAACCACCGTCTCGAACACATCTTCGATAGAAACCATTCCGAAAATAGTTAAACTAACTAACAAACAAACTACATAAGTAGATAAATAATATATATATATATGCCCTGGCCTTCTTCGACAGTTATTTTTACATGCTCTGGCCAAATTATGTTTATTGCATTTCCAGCGAAGGTTTTTTATATATGATATTTCATGATATATCATGATGATAATATGTATCCCAAGATCTCCCAAGCTGCTCAGGCCTCCGGCATGTGGGGGTTGATGGACCACTTCATCAGCATATAGGTTTTTTTCAAAGATATTCTTGAATGATACTTGAACATTTTTTGGGCAAAACATATTGGCAACATCTGGCAACCAATCGAAGATTTGACCCACATCCTAGAGGGTTTAGATTCATCTGGTTATATAGTGGGAAGGGGATACAAGCCCACAAATTTATATTTCAATGGCTTGGCCACCACCAGAGCCATGCGGGCTTCTCTGGCGGCACGTCTTGCACTCCAGAGATGCATTCACCCAGGAGGTGCTGCCCCCCACCATGCTACATTAAGCCACTGAGTTTCTGAAAGAACCAATCATCCAGGGGATCAATCCATTTTTTCTTGGAATTTGCGTTTTGTGTGCGCATCCATTGCCATTTTGACAGGGGACAGGTTAAGAAACAAACAGTGCTGTTAAAATTCATGTTAAAACCATGGATTGATCAATATTTGAAGCCTATTATAGTGTGCCAATAGGTTCAATTGAAGCTAAGTCAAGTGGTTCACATTGGTGCCCAATTCCCATTGGCACTGGCGCTGTTTTTTTCTTCCATTTTATTTATATTTATATATAATATATATATATTTATATTTAGATATATATAATAAGCCAAAGAGATTTACAAGTTGTATGGGTCAACTCATTGGGATACCGTCCCACAAGAGGCTGGTCATTGCTAGTATTCAACAATCCGTGGGGACTGATGAACTGTGACCTCCATTTTTTTCTGGGCAGCCTATGGCAGCTTTTCATATTTCCGGATCTTTCTGACTGCAAGAGGCTCTGTCTGTTAGTTAAATGATGGTAAGGTGCTTTCAACCGACAGGTGTAGATTCTCTCCGGATCTCTCCGGGAATTTGTCGCATCGTCATGAAACATGAAGCATTTTAGTATACCCTCTGGTAATTCAACATAGCTATTGAAAATTGCCATTGAAATAGTTGATTTTCCCATTGGAAATGGTGATTTTCCATAGTTATGTTAGTTTACCAGAGGGTAGCCATCTCCGAGATCCATGATCCATGGCTAGCTGCAGAAAGGCTGTCTGGGATGATCCCGATCAAGCACTTCCAAACATCTGTCGCATCCTCAGCTCCGAAACTTGGGGCTGGCCCCGGGCATGACATGATTGGCTCAGTATTTAGATGTATTTAGTAATCCCTTCACCCAATTCATATCAAAAAAACAAGAAACTATGGTTTTATAGGGGATGACATCACATATTTGGGTCCATTTACGGGATGCTTAATATTGGGGGATGGGATACATATTGGTAAATTTCGAGGTGGGGAGCTCACTAACATTATGCATTTTACTTAGAATTTCCTAGCAAGCAGCTAGGTCAACATGCGTCGGCATGACCCGGTGCCAAGTGATCAAAAAAACAAAACCTTGAGATTTAAAAGACATGATTCACAGGAACAATATACCATGATTGACTCAATATTTATCCATAGCATTCCATAGCCAGACATTTTTAGCGCAAAATAAACTGCCCATGCACCGAGCAGCCAGAGGTGCCCCGATCGTCCAAGGCCAAGTCCTGGCGCACTTTTGTGCACTGAAAAAAATGGGAAAATTCATAGATATTTGGGAAAGTTATGGGACAAATCTCGAAAGTTATTGGTTTCTTGTTGCCGTATTTTTTCCCCATCCACTTTCCCATCGTTTTTCCATACGCAACTCGCAACCCATTCCAGGCTTTGACACCGGACTCCATGGCCTGCAGCTCCGCGTCCAGGCGTTGGACGCCCTCCCGGCTGCTCTTCCAGCGTGGCAAAGCAGCGGTCAGGTGGTCCTGCAGCTGCGCCTCCCAGTAGTCGCACTCGGCCTCCGCGGGGCAAGTCATGGGATGTCTCCATCCAGGTGGCTCAGTTGGACCACAACTATCCACAAGTCATGGGCGTTAAACATGGGATAGTGGAGAAATTGTTGATGTTTTAGAAAACAACCCAAAAAACATGGAGATAGTTGTTGTCTAATGCTCTCCATGGGATGGAAGAACTCCTGCAGCTTGGATGGATGAAAGATGTTGAAATATTTTGAAACCCTACAAATAATGGGATAAGCCACCTATCAACTGCAGCATTTCTTCCATCCGCTCTATGGGATGTCTCGTCCCAAGTCCCATGAGAGCTATCGGCCTGTAGCTATTGACTTTATTGACTTGGTGTGGATTGGTTCTCACTGGTGGCTTTACCTTAGGTCTTGCAGGTGGAGGTCTGAAAATGGGAAAACCATCCTGCGAATGAATGATCCCAATATCCTTCAAATTTGATGGGTTTGACGTTTTGGATACTTATCAACAAATTGGAGCTTGACATTTTCTGACCTATAGACTATATATCACAATTCCCTCTTTTCTAAGTGCCATTCAACATATTCCAACATGATTTCCAGTTGGAGAATGTTAGTTTTCCCGGCCAGGCTTGCTGGAGGTTGCCAGCTGGGGGTAGCTCCAAACCAGCTGGGGACTTTGAACTGACCGGGTTATGTAATTTTTGATAATTTTTGGCACCCAAATTCACATGTAGCCGCTCCAAACCTCTTCACCATATTCATCTCATTGCTTACTGGGACAGTTGCTATGATCTGAAGGCTTCATAAACTTCTTGTGAGGATTGCCAGGTAGGCAAAGCATTTGCTTACGGAACATGCCCAAGGTCTTTCAGAACCAGATTCCTTGCCTCAAGCTTCACCCTTTCAATCACCTTTTCATCTGTTTGGTGATCTCAAACTATCCCAACGTCAGTCAATTAATTGGAGTTCACCATCGAATCTCCAATCAGATCAAACAATTATAGACGTATATACGGCATATATATATATATATCATACATGCGTGTATGTAATGCACAAGTATGCATCAATCAAAATCTCTCTCTCTCTCTCTCTGTGTATATACATTATATCCACAATTTCAGTACGGTAGAAACCCACCAGCCATGGCCCAACTGCCCAAGAACTCCATCTACCTCCACAGCGATGATGCCCGCGTGGATTGCTTTGTCCTCCCGTAGCATCCGCAGCCATTCGTAGCACTTCTCTTCCTGGCGCAACCGCGACAGCCAAGCGATCCAATTGGGGAGGGTGAGAAGCTGCGGATCTAACCTACATCTGCTTCGACGCTTAAGGTGTTTCAAATATGTTCGTTTTGTGACGGCCTGGATATAAGTTATATGAACATAACAAAATGTGTATACCGTTTCGTATATATAATATACATGGATGCATGTGAAATGAGACTGATTGAGACTGTATCTCAAATAGTTCCAACATTCTTTTTGTTGACACTAGGCCGAAGATTTTCTCGAGACCTTTTTCTTTCTCTCTACCGCTGCTGAGACATCTCGGCTCCTTATGAACATCCCCCATGTCTTGGTGGCAATCTTTTCAGTCTCAAGTCCAAGATCCCACTTCTTCTTGTTTTCTCATGCGCAGTTTTCACAATTTGGGTTTGCCAAGTAAAGTTTTGTTAATCATATTTTACATTGCATTTGGCGGCATGCCAAAATTTTAGACACAACCACTTAAATATCACATTGTTGCTTCTATATCCAGTTACATCATGTTACATCCGTATTACATCCCATTCTATCCCCATAAAATGCTTGGCATAATTCCATTTTGTTGGTTAAACCGCCCCTATTTCATCCTACTTCCCCATCATTTTCAGCACCTGCAGAGGCTGTGCGCCAGCAGCAGCCTCTATGGCAGCTGAAGCTTCAGCAGCGGGGTCCTGTCGCAATGCGTATCTTCTTCACGGAGAAGATATGTAAAAACATAAACAAATAAATAAAAATATATATATATATGTAATTGATAGTGTCAAATGGAAATTCAATGTAAATATAGTACAATATAGACATTTATAGACACTATTCAGCTTCTCGCGGCGTTTCCACCAGTACAAACGCCAATTTACAGAACGGGCAAATGCGCAAACATAGATGCTCTTCAAATCCAAACTATTAAAAAGATAGTGATGTTCGATAGTTATGTTCAATTACCAAAAGGTAAGTGTTCTATATACTGTACTCTCAAACGCTAACTAACTACAGCAGAATCGGCTCAGCAATGAACCTGCCGTCTTGACTTCTCGGCCAGCTCTTGGGCCTCATCAGATTGCACGAAAATGGATGAACAAATACAAAAATTAAAGGACCGGATAACCCCACAAGTCAACTTCTTCCAACAAGCAACAAAAGAAAGGCAAAGACGGCATGGGGTAAGCAAGAAAGAGAAAAGAGATGGTGAAGGATTGGTGTGGAGTAAGTTATGTGTGGACGAGTATGTGTGAGTAAGTTGTGTATGGATGAGTTGTGTTTGTGGGTGAGGTGTGTGGGTGTGCGTGTGTGTGTGTGCGAGTATGTGTGTGTGGTGTGCGGCCACGATCAAAGATGCCCCACGCCAGGAAGTGCGGCGAAGGGCAATCGATGCGTGACCATTGATTATGTGTCCGCAAACGTACAGCGCAGACCATCACGAAAACGGATGGCCCACGACTGGCGTTTGGATGATGTGTGTGTGTGTGTGGGTGTGTGTGTGTGTGTTGTCTGTGTGTGTGTGTGCGTGTGTGTGTGTGTACGTGTGTGTATGTGTGTGTCTGTGTGTGTGTGTATGTGTGTGTGCGTGTGTGTGTGTCTGTGTGTGTGTGAGTGCGGGTGTCGGCGTGGACCATGTACGCGATGAGGTCAGTACCTGGCAGGTAGTATCAGAAGATGCGATCACGTTGAAATTGCAACAAAACAGCTGTCCATGGACAGTGCAGAAACAGCAAGTGACATACAAATAGCTGCAACTGTTTGCACAGAACCTGTTCTGAGCTGGGACGAACGCCATCCTTTCTTTCGATCACATTTGCATCGTGTTCAGGAGCATATAGTGTTTGTCCTTGCGCAACTGCTGAACAGAGAGTGCCATCACTGTGCAACATGCGCAGACGTTGCCAGAGAGTGCCATCAAAGCAGAAACATGCGCAGAAACGATACAATTCATTCTCTTGCACGAATTGTATCCTTTTATCTCCTTTTTGTGTGATCAAAATCCTGGCAAGACCTGTAGCACTTTGTCTCGCAGTGGGGCCGACTCTAAACGTGTCACGAATGGTGGAAGAGTTGGCCGTCGCGACCCCAGTCTTCCCACATTGAGTCAACCATGGGTCCCGCAGCTAACAAAAGGTGCGGTGGCCGTCCTCATTTGTTTCCTTATATTCAGAAACACAGAAGCACTTTTTGCGACAGCAGCAAATGGTTCTTCGCACATTGCGTCAAACCATTTCATGATATGTAAAGAAAGATGTGTATCATAATTACAGCAACATTTCTTTTCCCGTAGACTGCTGTCACGACGTCTTCTTGCGACCCTGTTCAGACGGAGATTCCGCTGCAGCAGTGGACATAGACAATGACCACGCTCTTGTGGCCACCGCTGATGCCTTTGACATGGGTGCGCCATCACATCGTCGGGGCCGCAGTTGCGCGAAGTTCGCGGCCCCAGCTCGCTCAAGCGGCATTCTTTCATCATAAGCTGACTCGCCATGACTTGCGATGGACCGTGGTGGTAGTTGCCTGCAACGGTCTTGTGCATCTGGTGAAGTTACACGTTGGGTAGGACCTGAGGAAAACGACAATCTTGGCGACCGCTCTCTTGATTCACGGTGCGCAGCAGGTGGTACCATGGCTACCGTAGTGTGTGCGTCCACGAACCGTGCCACATCTTCCCTTTCTTCTCGATCGGCTCCAGTCAAGTTGATCTCCACAAGTGAGCCATCGCTCATTGTCACACGGATGATATCAGGAAGGCGATTCCGCCTGTTGCTCGGCTGCTGCAATCTTCCACGTTCTTCTCGGTCTCGCGACGTCGCCATAGCTGCAGTGGCTTGTCAACAACGGACAAACTAGAGCCAAATACTAACATTTAGGTGTGAAACACGTGGAACGCTATCCTCTGCGATGCGTTTGTCAGAAACATGAGGATTGCCAAAGCTTCCGGTCCAGAAACTTCACTGAGCCGCCGTGCCACACACGCTTCTTTCTCCGAAGGTACAGTGGTTTCCAAAGCTTCAACCAAATCACAGCAACTTTCGTCTGTCTGCAACACATCATTGTTTGTGCACACATTCCCTTGTCTGCCAACACACATCAATCAACAAGCCTCGGCGTGCTGGCATCAGGCAACATTTTCTAGCGACGCAGTCACAGCTTCTTCATTTTATGACTCTACCTCTGTAGTCTTTTCCCAAATACGTGAACCGCACGCAGTGCGAGTGCGATTAGACTCTTTGCACGTTGCGCCAAGCCTCTCCGGTTCACTGCGCGTTCCAATGTCAGCTGCTTGGCATGTCTTTCCACATTGAATCAACAATGCCGGCAGCCAAAACAGCAGATAGGAAAGCTTACGTATAGACTTTATACGCTTGCATGCTGAATAGCCTCGCAGATTTCGGCGAAAGCCGGCTTATTCCATGGACAGACTTTGCCGTCCTCCACCACAGGCACACGAAGATAAACTGGATCATATAGCAACTTGGCACGTAAAGTCAGTCTCTGGCCATCTGAAGACACTAGCACGTGCAGGTAATAGGTCGACGTGGACTCATCAGCACGAAATTCGGACAGCATCCGCTTTCCCAGCTTCACGTTGCAGTGCAGCATCTCATAGAAACGTTGCCGGAGCCGCTTGGCTAACGGACCGTCTGGGCACCGAAGATCAACGTCTTTCAGTTGCACCCGATCCAAATTTCGCAGCATGAGAGTCTGAAGCTCGCAGAAGTCGTAGAGCGGACTGGTGCTAGGCTGCGGTCTGTAAGTCGCAGAGGTGGCAGCTCCCTTCCCAATGACCACACGAATGTTCACTGGGGGCGGCTGGTTGCTGGTGACGACCTTGAGAACAATGTCAGATCCATCCGAGGGAACCAACTGGCTGAGTCTTGGCCGCGGGAACACCACCATGTCCTTGTCGGAGAGGTGAAAATTCGCTACGTTCCAGCAATGACACCAATAACCAAAAGGTATGGCATCGAGCCATGGTTGGCCCTTGAGAACAAAAACTTTTGCCACGACGTTGCCAGAGAGTGCCATCACTGTGCAGCGAACGTGGTCGTCGAGGGCATCTGCGGGAGGTGTGGAGCAAAGCACAGGGGACAAAGAGCCGACCGGTGCAGCGACGTGGCCGAGAGCCGGCAATGGAACTTTCTGCAGCTTCTCGCAGAGCTGCGCGCACACATCTTCCAGTTTGCATGGTAGCTGGAGAAGCACTGCAGTTTGCTCTTCCAGCGAATCTTCGCCATCAGATCGGCTGAGCTCTCCCGCCATCAGATCGAAGAAACATGCCGGAAGGACCACGCCTGCCACACAAAGTGCCGCGGCGTCACAGGCGCCCAAGCCCGTCCAAGCGCGCCACCCAATGCCATCTGTCCCACGCCTGCCACGCAAACCGACAGTAGATGTGAGTTGGTGCCACGCCTGCCACGTGAAACGACAGTAGGTGAACGTTCGTGCCACGCCTGCCACACAACGTGCCGCGGCGTCACAGGCGCCCAAGCCCGTCCAAGCGCGCCACCCAATGCCATCTGTCCCACGCCTGCCACGCAAAACGACAGTAGATGTGCGTTTGTCCCACGCCTGCCACACAAAACGAGAGTAGATGTGAGTTTGTGCCACGCCTGCCACGTGAAACGACAGTAGATGTGAGTTTGTGCCACGCCTGCCACGCAACGTGCCGCGGCGTCACAGGCGCCCAAGCCCGTCCAAGCGCGCCACCCAATGCCATCTGTCCCACGCCTGCCACGCAAAACGAGAGTAGATGTGCGTTTGTGCCACGCCTGCCACGTGAAACGACAGTAGATGTGAGTTTGTGCCACGCCTGCCACACAAAGTGCCGCAGCGTCACAGGCGCCCAAGCCCGTCCAAGCGCGCCACCCAATGCCATCTGTGCCACGCCTGCCACGTGAAACGACAGTAGATGTGAGTTTGTGCCACGCCTGCCACGTGAAACGACAGTAGATGTGAGTTTGTGCCACGCCTGCCACG